CGTAGTCTGGTTAGTTAGGTAGTAGTCGCAGTAAGGAGTAGTAGTAGTAGTAGTAGTAGTAGTAGTAGTAGTAGTAGTAGTAGTAGTAGTAGTCAGTAGTAGTAGTAGTAGTAGTAGTAGTAGTAGTAGTAGTAGTAGTAGTAGTAGTAGTAGTAGTAGTAGTAGTAGTAGTAGTAGTAGTAGTAGTAGTAGTAGTAGTAGTAGTAGTAGTAGTAGTAGTAGTAGTAGTAGTAGTCGTGGTAGTAGCAGCAGCAGCAGCAGTGGCAGTAGTAGTGCGGGCACGACCGCTGCCGCAGAGGACGCGGAGCGACGCCCGCAGCCCCGGCTTGTCCGCGCCATGGCCGCGCGAGGTCCCGCGGGGCCCGGGCGGCGCGGCAGCCAAGGTGGGGGGGGGAGGGGGGAGAGGGAGGCAAGCTTGGGAGGGGGGAGAGGGAGGGGGGATTTTTTTTTCCCCGCGGGAACACCACCACCTCTTCTTTCCTCGCGTCGGAGGTCTTGAAAAACCGACTGTCATGGCGCTACAGAGGGTCATCAAGAAAAATTGCACTCACCAGTACAAGGATGAGACGCCCAAGGGTAGGTCACGGAATACCCCTGGGGCGTGTCACGGAATACCCCTGGGGCGTGTCACGGAATACCCCTGGGGTGTGTCAGACGCCCCTCCATCATCGTGCGAAGGCAGCGGTAGAGACTGTTCGCCCTCCACGCGGCGAAGGGTCTCCGCCACACTCTGCAGAACATCCACAGGCCTACTAGCATTCGAAGGGGCTGAAACAACATCCGTAAAAAAGGTTCGAGCATCCTCTTCCTCCATATCAAAATCCAGATCGCGCTGGTCCCCAGGCTCGACCTGGCCCCCCGGCGCCATTTTAAGGGCACGTCGTACCTGAGCTGGCTGATTTCTGACATCCAGAGGCGGGTCCAGCTCAGTAGAGTGTCCTGGCACAGCGAGCAAGACAGGAGGAGGCTCACCAGTAGGAGGGTCAGCTGGTGCACCTACGGCATCATCAGACTCCTCAACAACAGTGTTGAAACATGGAATGCAGAAGTTTGTCTCAACAGTGACACCGAGCTTCGATCGAGAATAGTGTGGGTGGCGGCCTTTGGCGAGAGCGTTCCACCCATACTTGGCAGCACGAGTGGGCGGGACACGGCACTCCTCGCCAAGACCTCTGACGGACGCACCCGTGGAATGGCATTTGCAGCGCGTGCAAATGAACAAGACCGATCCATCAGAACAATCGAAAGCCACAGTGTGATGACCCAGGGCGTCCTGACGCGAAGCGTGCAATTTCGAATCATTCGGGCAACGTCCAGCAGCCGGCTTAGCCGAGGATCGCTGACCACGAAGACAGACTGAGCACCGCCAAGCTCCCCGCCACTGCTCCCAACGATGGCCTGGGGCAGTGGGGCCCTGGGGGCCCGCGCCCTGAGGCACATAAAGGATATCCTTCGAGGCCTTCAGGGGGGCGAAAAAAGGCAAACGTTTAGCAGCTAGCTTACAGGTGGCATGCGCGTATTTCACAAGGATATCAGCTTCTTCCAAGACACCTTCGTCTCTAGGATGAGCGAGGAGGGCCGCTTTAGCACCGAGGTCGACGACATGGTTACCGAACCTCCGGGCATATTCCTCTTCGGAGATGCCCTCTTCGTTCAAACTTAAATGAGATTGCACCTTGGAGACAGCAGTGATGCGTTTCCTCTCGGGGCGAGCAAGAAGCTGCACAAAGATGCCGGCGTACATCTTTTTGAACGAGAGCTGGCGATCACGTGACGCATCGTGCTGCTGCTTGACATTGGCACAGTCTGTGACGAGCTCTGGCCCGACAAGACACATAGTTGCACCCCAAAACCCCGAGAATTCCCCAGCCTGGGGCGTTTGCGGGAGCGGGGCCCAAACGGGACACCGCATGGTGCACAGGTGAACGCCGTCGTCGGAAAACGTGGCGGCACTCCAAGCAGCCCGGCTGAGCTCCCTGATGGGGTGCCGCGAAGCAGAACCGTCAATAAAAACCTTTCCCTGGATCGCTAAAGGCTGGGGCGGAGGAGGATCTTGATTCCAATCAACCTGCCATGCGCCTTCAGTGAGCGGGGGTGGGTGATCGTCAGCAGGGTGCGGCATACCACCTCGAATCAAAGTTGAAAACCGAGACTTCGTCGACGCAAATTCCTTCACGCCTGCAAGCACATCAGCATCAACATATTCTCGACGTTCTTTATCAAGACACGGACAAACCCAAAGACGATGAAAAAGAGTATCCCGAGCAGCACCGCAAAGTTCACACATTTCGGGGAACATGTAGCCTTTCGACCGGGCGTAGGTACGACACCAAATGGCTCCCGTGGCAAGAGCTCGAATAGTGCCCTTCTCAGCCGGGGAGAAACGCTTGCTGGCCAAACAATTAGACACCACGTCAAAGCAAGCCCTCCCCTTGTACCCAAGCTTCGCTCCAATGTCCCATTCCAGTTGACGAAAAACGGCGTCTCTCAAAAGATGGCGAACCAGAGCTGGAGACATCGCGAGGAGCGGGATCTCCATGCCGCGATCGTCGATCAGCGTGGCAAAGTTGGGCATCTGCCAACTGATGCGCTCGAGACTCTTCCTCATCGCCGAAATAGGCCCAGCCACACTCCTCCAGGTTTTCGAGTCCTTGGAAAAAACGGCTTCCCAGGCAACCCTACACTCACGAAGATTCAAGATGGAGGGGTGGACAGCCAAATGACTATGCCAGAGCTCCTTGTGCCACCTACAAATGGGCGCCACCTGGGCGGTCCAGGTGGGGTCACGCTCGAGCAGAAGTAAAATGCCGAGACTACGATCCCCAGCCGAAGGCTTGATGGCACTAGCAAACGAACGACGCAGGGCCAAGAGCTCCGAGTCACTCAATCCGTGCACTTCGACCCCGTAGGTCGAGGCAGGCAAGACGCCGGAGCACCAGACATTTCGAGCCTTACGTCCGATCGTTCTGGCGAGTTTCCCAGCGCGTTTGCCTCGACGGGAGGCGGCAGCCTGACGAGCTTTAGCCTTGGCATTCCTACCGAAGTGTCTAACTGGGGTGCCTACCGCATCATCAACGCCAAGGTTGGGGGCCGAGGACACAAGAGGACCCGTCAAACACTCACCCAAAAGTTCTTGGATTTTAACCCCCATTCTTTTGCAAGAGCAGATTAAAGCACCCTTGTCCTGCGCCAGCGTGGCCCCGATGCCCTCTGTGACGGCAACGTGCAGCTGGCGAGTGGCACTGACCAGAGAATCGACGACCTCCGCCTCCGGTCCAATAGCGTGAAGGGCATTGTCATCTATGTAAAGGGCATACGTGACGCAGACCGGCCAGACGATCTTGTCCAAACTGTCCAGGCTGTTGACCCGGATCAGGGTCGTCGCAAAAGAGCAGCCGGCAATGATCCCGCGCTCGGCGTAGTACGCCAAAGTGATGAAACCTGAGAGGGCGAGGTGCCGTGCACCTCGATAAGCGGCATAACACAGCCTGGCCACAGCAATTGGAAACCTGTGCTGCGCACAACGCGCCAACATCCGATGTAAATCGATACTTTCATAATACTTCTGGAAGTCCCATAAAAGCGTGCAGGCACACTGTCCAGAGGCAACACCACCCTCGCTGCGGAGGGCCTGCCTCCAGACAGTGTCGGCAGCTCCCATGAACCGCCCAGCAGCAAACCAAGTTCGATAATTTTCCTCTTCCCAAGCGAGCGCGAGGGGGCGACGAATTTTGGCCCAAGCGCGGTAAAGCCCCCCAAAAAGACCGATCGGCCTAAGACCAGGAAGGGCCTTAGGGATGAGGTGAAGAATCACAACTTGGATCTGAGAAGGCAGAAAAGACGACACTTCCATGATCTTCATAATCAAAATCAGAGCTCGAAGGCAGTCCACGGAGAGCCAAGAGAACTGACGGATGTGGAAACCATCAGTAGAAACCGCCGAAAAAACCCTATGCTTACCACACACCTCACGGACGTCGTCAACCGTGATTGGTGGGAGCTCAGGGGCAGGAACAAAAAGCTTGGGGGGGGCCGGCGGCACAACGTCGGCCTTCCACAACGCTTTGAATCTAGCAGCTTCTTCACTGAGGAGGTTGTGGGGGTCACTCACGACACGCCCGTCGGCGGCCAGGACAGAAGTGGGAACAAAAGGTTTGGGGTCCTTGGTGGTAAGATGGGCCCGTTGGGCACCATGCGCATAGCCTTCCAGAACCCATAGCTTCCAAGAAGACAGGCTGGCAGCACGAGAGGCTTCAATACACCTGTCAAGCTGGACACGTATCTCGGACTTTAGAATGTCACCCCTTTCAATGGCCACCGACCTGTTTAAAGCGCCGGCTTCGGCAGCAAACTCAAGCACAAGAGCAAAGAGGTCTTGCCGAGCGCCCTGAGCCGCGGCCACACCGTCGGGCATCGAGATAATGGCCGAGGTAGCCTCAGTCAGGTCAGGCGCCTTAGCATCGGTTAAGAAACACATGAGTACCTGGAAACGCTGCCACAACCACCTCATGGCAAAGAGTTCCGCGTTCCGAGGGGTCCGCATGTCGTGGTCCAGGACAGAACGCCAGACGATCCTCGGGATCTCACCGCGAATACCTCTCTTGGGAAGTTCAACTCCCGCCTCAGCTTCGAGTTCAATCTCGGCCAAGTTGGCCCACTGCTTATAGCAACGATCCAGCGCTGACTGCGTGAGGACACCATCACCAGTGCGTGCCACAAGCAGGCCAGCATCGAGGTCGGCCAAGAGCGGGCCATAATCAGGAGGCTCCCGCTTAGGACCCACCATGCGCTCCACAGGGATCCTCGGAGGCTTCCGAAAGGCCATCGACTTTAAACGCCCAAGCTGGGGGAACAAATGCAACCGGACGGGGGAGTGAGGAGAGAGGTTCGAATCAGGCACCATCTCGATCCTGCTCACGGCCGCACTAAGCCCGCGACTCCCCACAAAATAATCGTCGAGCTTCAACCCCCCCGTGGTGGTACACGTACCCAAAACGTCAGGGTAAAGGATTCTGCCCACAGCCTGGGTGTCGAAGCGTGACGACTGCAAGTCCGAAGGGTGGAAATTAAAATCACCACCTACCAACCAAGCGGATCCCAACGAATCGAGCGCCGAGCCCAAATGAGACAGTATGGTAGAGTTCGGCTCTTCCAATTTCTTCCCGTCCTGTAGGTACAAAGAAAAAACAGAGACTTCCAAACCTCCAGGAATCTGGACTGCACCTCCGAGGCACCGGTGAGGTTCGTACGGAAACGGAGCGAGTCGGTGAAGCCCCAACCAAGAGCGACAGAATAAAGCAACTCCTCCAATGGTTCCGCCGCCTTCACCCGCAGCTGCTGGTTCCCACAAAGACTTCCACCCCGCTCGCAGTGCCCACGCGGAGGCCGTGTTAAGATCCTCCTCCGTCTTGAGGTGATGCTCTTGCATGGCGACTACATGGGCCGTGGTCCTACTCATCCAATCTTTTCCTGACGATTTCCACCCAGACACGTTGCAGGTTTCAAAACACAAAGGGACCGTGTCAACGTGAGCAGGGGCAGCAGTCTGAAAGGGCTGGGTTAAATCAGGATCCTTCGGACCAGGCAGGGATAAAATCTGAGAGGATCGCAATCTGAGCACCTCCGCTCGGCGACGAAAGGACAAAGGAGGAGGGGACAGGACGAAGGAGGAGAGAGACGAAAGCGGCAGAGCAGGCGAGGTGACAGCAGGAAAAAACCCGCCGGCATCCTTGCCTACGGCCCCGTCGGAGCACGTGCCAGAAAAAATACCTTGATTGTGATCTAGCGGCGACGCCGCTTCCCGGTTAAACCTGCGGCCCAGTACGAGCAGCAGCAGCAGCAGCACCACCAGCAGCAGGGGAGCAAATGCGCGATGCTTCATCCCTCGCTTGCTGGACAGCCGACTTCTGCCCTCCCGCCCCCGCTCCCGAGCCCGCTCCACACGCTCCCCCTCCCACAGAAGAGGCAGCGGCAGCAGGGCGCTGCCCCTCAGGAGCCTGCGCGGCAGGGCCACCAGGTGCACGACCATCAACATCAGGACGCGCATCAGTGCCATCAGCAGCCTTGCGACGCTTCCCCGCCAAACGCTTGAGCACCGCCTCGTGTTCGGCCTTGGCCTTCTCCACAAAGGACGCTGCCTCTGCGAAGGCCTTGGACGTAGCTTCACGTAGCCCCTGATTGATCTGTGCCACCAGGTCGTCAGCAGCTGCTTTATCTTCGCTCGATAGTGCATACTCATCGTCACCAAAAGCAAACATATCACCGAGCGTGATGAAATTCTCCACCGACCCGTCCATGATCTGCTTGATTGTGACCTTCGGCTCTGCACGATCCGCAGTAGAGGTACGAGCCGCCATCGAGGCCACCAACTGATTGTGAATCTCCTCACAGCGAGAATACTCTTCATTCGCCAACGCCACCGCTTTACGCTGCTCCTCAAGAGACTTCTCAATATTAGTGAAGAGAGTGACGGATTTGGTGAGACGTTGCTCGGCGTTGCGGAGCTCATGGAAAGCCTTGTTGACCTGTTGATGAATGGGCACAACTGGCGGAGGCACACGTTTGGCGTCCAAAATAGACTGGTACTTGCTTGCGCCCGCCTGGTCTCCAGCTTTCCGCAACGATTGGATGAGCGGTTCCAGCTCACCTTCGGACAAATCAACTTGCTCGACGGTGACTTGGCCTCCACCTGTGCCGAAGTAGCCTGGTGGGGCCTGCAAAGCATCAGACCTCGAGTAGACCATGAGCTGTGGGCCGTGGTATTCCCGCGGGGCCTTGCAATGCTTACAGAAAGCTGCAGAAGCGTGGTTGCGTCGACAGGGACACTTTGTGCAAGCCCACTTACCGCCACCACCTCCACCGGTCCGATGCTGCTGCACTTGGGGACCAGGAGGAAGAGGCGAAGGAAGACCGCCGCCGCCGCTGCCAGCGCCACCAGGGAGCCTCCACGGCGGAGTGGGACTCCACTCGCCATTGGCCCACCGGTACATCGCTTCTGCCGGAAAGTAGATATCGTGAAAAGGGGGAGCGGCCCCCTACCGTGTCGTTTTGGCCCGCGAACGCGAGCCGCTCTGAAGAACCGCGTCCGCAAAACTCAGCACCTGAGCGCAGAACGGCTAGAGGGAGGGGGGAGAGGGAGGGGGGAGAGGGAGAGGGAGGAGGGAGAGGGAGGGGGGAGAGGGAGGCGAGCTTGGGAGACTCGGGTCGGACGAGGGTCAGGGGCAACGATAGGGGGGGACGGGCTCAGGGGGGGATTGAGAAAAAGAGGGGGATGAGTACAGGTCGCTGCTAGGGGGGGGACGGGAAGGGAAGGGAAAGAGAAGGGAAGGGAGGGAGGAACTGGGAGGGGGGGTGGGGTGAATGCACGTCGCTGTCGGGGAGGGGGAGGGAGAGAGAGAGGGAAGAGGCTGGGAGGAGATCGGGCGGCAGGCCCCTTCCCCACAGCTGCGAGGGAGCGCGGGGCGGCGCGGGGGCGGCGTGTCCGGCGCCCGCGACCTCGCTGCCTGTGCCGAGCCTCGAGATCGACTTCGTGGCCGGGCCGCGCATGGGCGAGAAACTTGTGCTCACGGATCGGGGTGGGGGGCGTCAAAACCAATGGGGTATACAAGCTTGAATGATGTACGCTGCAACTTCATAACAGTGCACATATGTGGAAATGCTTCCTTTCCTTTCTTCCTCCTCTCCCTCTCTCCTCCTTGCAAGTCTTCTCTCCTCTGCCTCTACCTCCTCTTCCTCCTATACTTTCGCCCTCCCTGAACCTCTCCCTCTGGCTCCTCACCTCCTCTACCTCCTCGTCCTGCCCTCAGCTCCCCGGGGGCGCGCTGCCGGCGCTTTCGGCCGGCCTCCTGCCGCGGCGCTCCTCCAGGATCGCCTTGCGTATGGCGACGGCCCGCCACAGCAGGCCGGCGTCCACCTCCTTCCTGCGTTGCAGGCCAGTCGGCCAGAGGAGGCGCCGCTGCAGCGCATCCTGTGGCCGGCCTACGTCAGAGGAGCATGCAGTATTGATATTGATAGTTTTCCAGATTTCCAGGTTTTCCTGTTCTTCCGCGCGGGCTCCAGGGACGAATGGTCGAGTGCATTCCGTCGCGCAGGTTCTTTGCGCGATGTTCGCGGTGCATTTTTCGCGCATCGGAGCGCCCTCGAAGATTCCAAGCTGCATGCTGTGTTGCTCTTGGGGGGTCCGCGAGTCGCAGCTGCCATGGCGCTGTTTTCGAGGTGGCCCCTTCGAGTGCTGTTCGCGGACGCAACGCGCGGCGCGCGCTGCGCCCAATCGCGCGCGGCGCGGCGCGTGAATCAGCCGGCCGCGCCCGTCAGACCGCCTGGACATTTTTCTGGATTGTAGAATGTGGTAGAAAACGTTTTTTTTTTGTTTTTTTTTTGTTTTGCGCAAGCGGTTCCGGAATTTTTCAAAAAGGAGCCCGGAAATTTTCAAAAAAAGTTTTGAGGGGTGGAATGCGCCCGCCGCGCAGGACATCTGAAGAATTCTGAAATCCGGAATTTTTCAAAATGGATTTGGGATTTTTCAAAATCGATCCCGGAAATTTTCAAAAACGATTTTGGCACTTTTCAAAAATAGGCCGGACACGTTCAAAAACGTTTCCGGATTTGTTCATCTTTCCCCCCGGGGACTTTTCCTGAGTCGCGCATGATTTGCCTTGCCAGGTCTTTGGAAATCCGCCGAGGCGCGCGGTGCGCGGCGGCGGGCGATGAGACGGTGCGCCACCGCCCCCCCCCCCCCGCGTTCGGCAACGAGAAGGGGGGTCAGCAACTGCCAAATAGCCCCTTACGGGCGACCACTCGATTGCGAATGGGTGACCCACCAGCGGCGCCAGCCAGAGTAGACAATACTCGACGCAAAGTGTACCCCGCGCGAAGGCTGTTAGAAATCCCAGAATTTCCGGAACGTATCAATAGCACGTTGTGTCAATAGATTCTTCTCGTCCTACTACGGGCCTGATCTCCGCCTCGCAGCGCCAGACCACGTGCTCGAAGTCGGGCGCCTCGTCCCTCCCATTGCGGGGGCAATGCTCCTGCACTGCTGCCCGCCCTTCACGTCGTTGTCCTCGTCCTCCCCCCTCCCCCTCCTCTCTCCTCTCTGCCCTTCGCCGCCTGCAGGTGCGCCGGCGAGACGAAGGCTCCAGACATCACGCTGGCCGCGTGCGTGCTGCCCTCTGCCAGAAGCCTCGCGGCTTTGCAGCGCCGCTCGTCGTACTGCTCGAACCGGCACAGAGACGAGTCGATGCGGCTCTGCCCCCGCCACCTCCCGAATAGGTCCGCGCGCCAGCCTTCCCGGAGCACGTGCTCGAGGCGTCCTTTGCACTCAGACCAGTGCTCGCTGCCCTTGTTCAGGCTGAGAATGACGCCCGTGACTGGGTGCCTCCACTCCCACTCGGCGCGTTCCTGCCAGCCGCAGCCCTGCAGGAGAGCGTGGATCCGGCCAGAGCATCCCTCCTGCCTCCTCCAGGTTCCCAGCGTGGCCCGCCGGTGGTCCTTGCAGAGGGTGCGCCACGCTGCCATGAAGGCAGTCGTCAGCAGGCGGCACCTGACACTGAGCCGGTGGCCGCGGAAGATGGCCCGGAGGTGGGGGCTCCCTGCTTTGGGCTCCTGCCTCGCCCTCACGATCGCCGCCTGTAGCTGCGTCTCGTCCCTCTTGTTCATCTGCCTGTCAGCGCCTTGCTTGCCATCGTCGCCTCCTTCATCCTTCTGCAGACTGGCAGGCTCGCACTCTTTTTGAGCATCACCTTGGCCCTCCTCAGCCTCGTCCCCTCCTTCCTGGTATACTTCCTTCCTCTTCCTCCTTGGCGGCCGGTCCCCTTGCAGAAGCCCACCCCGAGGATCTCTGCAGCGTCCGTCACCGTGGTGTCCGGCGCGCCTGCTTTGAGCAGCTGTTTCCTGCCCGCGGCCGTCCGGTGGGCGTGCTGGGACTTCGCCTCGTTCTCCTTGAGGCCCAAGACGAGCGACCACTTCCTCCACTCCTCACCAACTGCCAGCAGCTCCTGCGCAGTGCTGGACTTCCACGACCTGTCGTCCACGAAGCAGGAGAGCTCCGTCCCAGGGAAGCGCGCCACGATGGCGGTGATCGGCAGGTGTAGGACCGCCACCATAGCTATCATGGACCACGGGTCGCCCTGGGGCAGCGAGGTGCCCACCTCCTCCGGCTGCCTGAGTGTGACTCCTTGGTATTGCAAGTACCGGAGCTGTCCGGTCCACACCTGTTCCAGGATAGCGGCGACCGCGCGCGGGCACCCGAGGTTCCTCAACACCGCGACTGCCAGTTTGCGGTCGGTCTGGTCGAAAGCCAACGTGTAGTCATAGGACGCGATGAAGTCACCCTGGTGGTACGAGTCGATGAGGCGCATGAGCGGCATGTACACCTCTCCAGCCTTGCGTCCTCGAACTGCCTCCTCCCTCCACCATTTCCTCTGCCACGCTTGGGCGTCGGGGGACCGCAGCAGCACGCTGCCGAGCAGGCGCCACCAGCAGCTCAAGATGGTGATGGGTCGCAGCGCCTGCACAGCTATGCTCCCATCCTTCTTTCTCCTCCCTTTGCCCTCCTTTGGGAGCATTACTTGCCGTGCCTTGCGCCACTCTGTGGGCACGCAGCCCTGGTCCAGCATAAAATTGAAGACGTCAGCAAGGTGGTGGACCACCGCAGGGCAGTAGAGCGAAGCCAGCACTTCATAACAGTGCACATATGTGAAAATGCTTCCTTTCTTCCTCCTCTCCCTCTCTCCTCCCTGCAAGTCTTCTCTCCTCTGCCTCTACCTCCTCTTCCTCCTATACCTCCTCCCTCCCTCAACCTCTCCCTCTGGCTCCTCACCCATTGGGGGCATGGGAGGGCTCGGATGCGGGCCGGTCTGTCCCTGGCGTTCGTTTGTCCTTTCCCGGCCTGTTGGTGGACAGCGGCATGGGGATTTGGGTGTTTTTTGCACGTGGTCGTGTACATTAATTGCACGATGGCGAGTTTTTCGGAGTGTTTGGGTTCTGCGATATGATTTTATTTTTCGTTCAAGGTCTGCGTTCTCATGATTGGGCTTCTTCGGAGCAGCGCATTCAGCAGATTCAGCTGTTTCCCCCCTCGTCTCCCCCTTCGTCTTGGACTGGCTTTTCCCTGTCTTCTTTCTCTTCCTCATCTGCTTCTCTCTCCTCTTCCCTTGTTCCTGACTCGTCCTCATTCTCTCCTGGAGGATGCCTGACTGCATTGGAATCAGTGGCCGAGGGCCACCTGTGCTAGTTGATCTGGGGCGCATCGTCTCGGGAGTTGGAATTGGCGAGCCGTCTCGCCGTGTTGAGGAGCTGTCAGGAGCCAAGGGCCCGCGAACGATTTTCCCAGCGCTTTTTTGTTTTTTCTGGCCTGTTGGTGGCTTCCCAGGGGAAGAGAGAGGCACTCTGGAAGCGAGGGAAGGAGGGACAGCATGAGCCAGGAGGGGAACAAAAACACACAGACACAAGTCATCGTCGATCCCCAGGAAGACATGGGAACGTCTGGGAAGTGAGGGGGGGGGGACGAACAGCCATAAAGTACAGGAAAACCTCGGGAATCCTGTGATCTGTGTGCATTTGTTTGTGTGTCCCTGGGCCCCTTCAAGTGTGGAAGCGAGGGAAGGCGGGACGGCACGAGCGAGGCGGGGACTCCCTCCACTCCGCCTCCGTGCGCTCTCCTGCCCTCGCCTCGCGGCGAGGTCCCGCCGCCCCTGCTCGCCCGCTCTCCTCGCCCTTCTCCCTCCTTGCCCACCCTTCTCGTCCCTCCCCCTCCTCGCCCCTTCGCCTCCTCGCCCCCTGCTGCCTCTTGCGCCCCCTCCCTCCTCTCCCCTCTCCATCCCCATCCCTGTTCTGCCCCCCCCCCTCTTTCCCTCTCCTCCTCTCCCAGGACCGGGTGAGCACAGTGGGGCGCAGCGACGCGGCCACGGTCCAGATTTCCGACTCGTCTCTGGCCAGCATCTCGAGGATCCATTGCGTCTTCGAGTATCATGGAAGCCGCTGGCGCCGATGTTGAATTTCCATGTCCTAACTAATTATTGTTGATCCCCCCTGCCTGATGACCATTGCGTTTTTCAGTCAAAGTGCTCCCCCTGTTGCTCGCACCTGTTGTTTTACAAAGGGAAGTGTGGGACCACCAAACTGCGTTGTTGGCTCCGAACTGCAACAACGGTTACCGCCTGATATTTCCTCACAATTCATTCTAGCATCGCGTTTTCGCGCTGGGTTTCCTCACAATGTGTGCAGGAATCGCGCTCGCGCGTGGGAACTCCTCGCAATTTATCCAAACGACGCGCGCTCGACGCTCAGGAGTCGCGCCCTCGCTCTTTTTTTTCTGCTCGCGATTCACTTGGGAATTGCACTATCGCTCGAGGCCTCCTCGCGATTTATGAAGCACTCACGCAACCCGCCTGCTCGACCTTGCCGATTGGGCCCGCCTTCCCGACCCGCCCGTTCGGGTGTACCCGCCCTGTCGGCCCGTCTTGTTTTGGCACGTGTTTTTTGCTCCAAGCCCCCCCTGCTAATCCCGTGCCCCATCCTTTTCCCTCCCTCTTCCATCCGTCCTCTCTTCCGTTGTTCAGGGGCTGCACTCGTTACGCGCGGCAGGTGAGGAAGATATGCCCCCAGAGGGGGTACGAGCGAAGACACAAGGGCGGGCATCGAGGGTTTGCGATAAGATACGTGTTGAATGGCATGCGAGCAGGTAACAGCGAAGAGTGGTAACATGAGTCTAGTTCTTGTTGGTGGTGGTTGTGGTCGTGGTTGCTGTTACTGTTGTTGTTGGTGGTAGTGTTGGTGTTGTTGTTGTTGTTGGTGGTGGTGGTGGTGTTGGTATGGTCGTCGTCGCCGTCGTCGTCGTCCTTGGTGCTGTTGTTGTTGTTGTTGCTGTTGTTGCCTGGCTACAGCAACAACGGCTCCCGCCTGATACTTCCTCACAACATATTCCAGACTTGCGCTCTCGCGCGGGCCTTCCTCATAATTTTTGCAGGAATCGCGCTCTCGCGTGAGACCTCCTTGCAAATTATTCAAACGTCGCGCCCTCGACTCTGAATCGTGCTCTCGCGCACGATGCCATCACTGTTTATGAAGGAATCACGCTTGCGTGGGACTCCCTCGCAATGCATTCAATGACCGCGCCCTCGACGCTCAGGAATCACGCTCCCGCCCTGGCTTTTCTGATGACTTATCTGGGAGTCGTGCTATCGATCGAGACGTCCTCGCGATTCATGCAGCATCCACGCTTCAGCAACCCGCCTGCTCGACCTGGCCGCCTTGGCCCGCCTTCCTACCCTCCCGTTGTTGTAGGCTCCACCCTCCCGATCAGCCTGCCTGTTTCTGCCGCGTGTTTTCTGCTCCTGGCCCCCGCGTCCTGGGAATCCTTCTCGTGCTCCATCCTTCTCCCTCCCCCATCCGTCCTCCCTTCTCCTGAAATAGGGGCTGCGCTACATGTACGTGGCAGGTAAGGAAGACATACCCCCAAGGGGGTGCGGTCGAAGAGGGTGGGTATCGATGGTTTGGGATATACGTGTTGAGTGACATGCGAGCTCGTAAGAGCGAGCAGCCTTACACTTAGTGTTGTTGTTGGTGTTGCTGCTGATGTTGTCGTTGTTGCTGTTGTGGGTGTTTCTGGTGTTGTTTTTTTTTGTAGTTGTAGTTGTAGTTGTTGTTTTAGTTGTAGTTGTAGTTGTTGTAGTTGTAGTTGTAGTTGTAGTTGTAGTTGTAGTTGTTGTAGTTTATGTTTGTTGTTGTTGTAGTTGTAGTTGTTGTAGTTGTAGTGTTAGCTGTAGTTTTAGTTGTAGTAGTAGTTGTTGTAGACATATGTATTGTTGATCCCCCATGCGGTGAGCATTGTATTTGTTCAATTGAGGTGCCCCTCCTGGGGCTCGCACCCTGATTTGTTCCCCAAACATCCTGTGGTGTTGGGCCTTCGTTTTGAAGTGACATCTTCTCGCGTCCCTCCTCTTCCTGCCTCGTCCTCCTCCTCCTCTTCTCTTTCCTGCCTCTGCCCTTCGCACTCGTCACCATTATCACCATCAACAGCAGCATCATCATCATTAACATCATCATCGTCATCATCATCATCATCATCATCATCATCATCATCATCATCATCATCATCATCATCATCACTCTCATCAGCATCACCATCATCATCATCAATACGGCAGACCTCTCAAGAGGATCATGGCCCCGTATTGAGGTCCACAGAAGGCTCCAGTGGCAGGGTGTGCATGGGGGCTCCGCACCGATTTCTGTACACCCCTCACGAGGGCCGTGGTCCCTCAGGGAGCTCCAAAGAAGGCTCCTCCAGTGGCTGGGGTTGCCCGGCGGCTCCGCACCCATTTCGGTAGAAACCCTCACGAGGATTCTGGCCCCGCAGGAAGCTCCAGAGAATGCTCCTCCAGTGGCACTGGCTGGGGTGTGCATGGGGGCTCCGCACCCATTTAGGCACACCTTCACGGGGATCGTGGCCCCGCAGGGAGCTCCACAGAAGGCTCCAGTGGCCCACTGGCTGAGGCTGCATGGGTCAGCGAGCGAAGAACGGTATTTTTCGCTGTCGGGGGCGTTTGTCCCTGGGCGGCTTGAAAGTTTACACCCCCCCCGGTGCCACCGGAAGGGTATAGACTTTCCAGCCGCCCTGGGACGGGCGCCCCCGACAGCGAACAAGTGTACTTCATACCGTTCTTCGCCCGTTACATGGGGGCAGTGCACCTTGTTGTCGGCCCCTCTTGTCGGAGGGGGGAGATGCGACACCAACACGCCCACCTCCAGCGAGGAGGTCCACGATGCCTCCCCGAGCTGGAGGCTGGGGATGTCTCGAGCGAGAGGGGGGGACCACACCACCAGGGAGACCCCCCCCTTGCTCCTCGCATCGCCTCGCCCTGTTGGTGTTGGTGTCGCCTTTCCTTGCTCCTATCTTGGGCCCCCTGCGCCTGGGCACTCTCGCCGGGCGCCCCCCCGGGGCCGCGGGGCCTGCGGCCCTCGAAGCGGGCGCGGGCAGCAGCCTCGCGAACCCGCGGCCGCGAGCCGGCGCCTGCAGTCGCAGGCCCAGAGGTCAGGAGAGGAAGACACACACACAGACACAATGAATCCTCGATGCCCCAGAAAAGATGGGAAGATATGGGAAAATGGAAGGAAGACAGGAACCCAGGAAATAGGGGAACATAGGGGGAATAATTTTTATTTGTGTGTATTTGTTTGTGTATCCTGGGGCCCCTTCACAGAGGTTGACACCAACACCAAGATCGGCGGTGTGCCTCCACCGAGGGGGGACGATCCCGATCTCGGTGATGGTGGTAATATTCTGGCTTCAGGGTGACCGAAATATTACCACCAACACCGAAATCTAAGGCCATCTTCTCCATGTGGAGGCGAACGCCCCGTGCTGGTGTTGGTGCCAAGTTCCAGGCCTCCAATACAGGCTCAAGCAGCATGGGCCCCCGCGGACGAAACCGCGAGAGCGACCGCCAGCCCGACAGATGATCGACGCCCGCGCGCAGTCTGCGCGGCGCTCGCTGGGGCGCCCATCGGCAACCAGCTGCGCAGAGGCAGCACCCAGCCAGAGGAGCGCATGAACGATTGGATAACCGTCGACCGACGAGCGCATTCGGCCCCGATGCTCCGCGAAGGGTTGCGGTTCTCACTTCACTACTGCTGTTGCACTCCACCCAGCAAGTGCTCGTCCGAGCAATCGCGACGCCCAGCAGCCCGCCCAGGAAATCATGCACCCGAACACTCACCACCGAAAACGAGCCGTAGTGTTGCCTCAATCTTTCTTCTAGATTGCTAGTGGGGTGTGGGCCCCGCCCCCCCCCGCTGCTCAGAAGGGATCTGTCGATCAGTTACAGGAGGCGTCTGGTCACTGCGTCGCTGGCGCCTGCCCGACGGCGGAGCGCATGCGCCAAAGTCAAAGATACAGGAGCTATGTACACAAGACACGCAAGCAGGTCGTCGAAGACCATTGCGACGAATGCGGCGCCGACCTCCATGGGCCTGCCCCTCATCTGTCCCGCCTTCGAGCGCTTGGCGACTATGGCGACGCCGACGAGTGCGACGAGGGCGACCTCCACGGCAACGTTGCCGCAGGTCTGCCGACAGGGTGGTTGCGAGGCCCGTCGGCTCCCGAGCCCGAAACTGATCGACAAACGACTGGCGCTCAAACGCCGAAGTCCATCGAGTATGACATCATCCACCATCTCCTCAACTTCCTGGCTTCATTCGACTGCGACGTCGACGTCATCGAGGTTTGCCGCGGAGAAGCGCTGACCAGCAGACAGGCTGTCCGCGGGCATCTCAGAGCCGGCGAACACTGCGACTGGGCCCCTGCTGTGACCTCAACGACGAGTGCCAGCAGCGAGCCGTGGGAATATACGTCAGACAGTATCGGCCACAAGTGTGCAGCATGGTTCCAACCAGAAGACCTTCGGTCGTCCGGCACACTTCTAGATGCAGAAATATGCCGCACCTGGCGGCGCTCCCGCGAGGACGCAGTCCCACGGGGCCGACTCTGCGGCTACCTCGCAGAGCTGCAGCCGAAGTCTGGCGGCTACTTCGTCGACGAGCAGCCCGACCCGTCATGGCTGTGTGACGATCCGCCATGGCCAGAGGTGCTGATAGCGCTGGGCGCGGTTCAGGTTGTCTTCGACCAGTGTCAGCTTGGGCTTCGCGATCGTCGCGGAGGCACATTGGGGAAGACCACCCGGCCGGACTCCAACGCTCCGGAGATCTCCGTGCAGTTCGCGAACTTCAGTTGCCCAGGCAAACGCTCCCACGTTCGTGCCGATGGCCGCAGCGGCTTCGACGCCCTGATTGGGCCATGGGCGATGGCCGAGCGACTTGTCCAGGGCATTGCGGCCTTGCGTCGCCGTCTGCGGCGTCCGCGCCTCGCGAGCTGCGTTCGCGAGTGCGACGTCCAATCAGTAGCCTTCCCAACAATGGCCCCCAGAGCCACGGGGGGCGAGAATGGGTGCGACGCGCAGCCGAGCACGCGCTCTACGCCTGCA